CATTAACAAAGTTATCTAATACATTTTTTTGTCATTGGTTGGTGCTTGGTTCACAGTCATGAATAAAAAAAGACACGGTAATTTAGGGAAGAAACAACAGGAGATGAGTCTAGGAAAGCTGATTGAGAATAAATTATGGAAGGCCAGGCATGCCACCTTAGAGATTAGAATTAATTCTATAGGCAATTTTCACCAAGGGTTTATGCAGAGTGGAGGGATATCATATTTCCGATATAGAAACATATTTTGTAGAACTTTAGAGAGGGCAGAGACTGGAGTAAGTATTGCTGAAGTGGGAATTTAAGTCAGAATTTAAAGAAGAGGAATTACTTGTGACTGGAGGACTGCAGAATGGTGTAACAGGTAGAGGAAACATTAATTAGAGAAGAGACAGATTTTGTGAAAAAAACATCTGAGTGCAGTGTCTGTCTGGATCTAGAAAGAACTGAGTTGGTAATAAAAGGAAACCAATTGGAGAAAGAGCAAGCACATGAGTCTGGATTTGAAATAAAAAGTAACAAGGGACCACTATGACCGGGAGAACAATACAATGAGAATAACATTTGAGAAAGAGGAGCCCATAATCATCCCGTAAAGGAAGGGGTGTGGCAAAGCAGAGGACAGATGAGATGAACAGCTTTGGCTATAGACCAGCATGGAAGTGATAAAAGCCAAGGAGAGCTGGAAAAACTGAAAGAACAAGTATGAAATAAGTAAGAAGAGACTGGATTTTATGAGCGGTGAATGAAAATATTTCTTTTTTTTTTTTGTTGTGAGGAAGATCAGCCCTGAGCTAACATCCATTGCCAATCCTCCTCCTTTTTTCCCCCAAAGCCCCAGTAGATAGCTGTATGTCATAGTTGCACATCCTTCTAGTTGCTGTATGTGGGACGCGGCCTCAGCACGGCCCAACAAGTGGTGCATCGGTGCGCACCTGGGATCTGAACCCGGGCCGCCAGTAGCGGAGCGCGCGCACTTAACAACTATGCCACGGGGCCGGCCCCAAAAATATTTTCTTAAGAGCTAATACCAGACATCTTTCTCTGTTTTTTAGGAAAAGCTACTTTGAATGTGGAATATGAGAATCCGAAAGCAAGGCTTGGCAGGAGGAAAACAAAGATCACTGATGTTCTTCACGAAAAGTAGATGAGAAGACCTCCTCCAACATGATTGACTCCACTTCCCTTTATAAACTCATAGAAGTCCTGGGTAAAATATAACTATTATGTAAACCACACACCAAGCTCAATAATAAAGAACGACAAACAGGAAATTCTCAGTGCCAGAAACAAACGGAAAATTTGAAGGACAAGGACTGATGCCAAGGCAGCCCTCCAACATTTTATACTTGGCTGTAGGGCTCAGGAGCCAGTAGCTGGGTTTTAATGCACAAGCACAAGGCCTTGAGCTTCAGGGAGGCAGAGGAGCTGGAACAAGGCCGTTAGGTAAAACCTGGAGCCTTAAAGAACTGCCAGGCACGGGCACTGCAGAAACTCCATCTACTAGCCTGGGGAAGAGGCAAATAAGTTTCTTTTTGCCTGGGGCTTTGATAGAGGGGAAAAAACAAAAGGTACCTGTGAGAAATCAAAACCCCAGGCCAGCAACTGATATAAATTTACAATATCTGCATAATCCAGGAACTACAAACTGAGAAAAAATCAGTTACAAATGCTCCCGGATCTTTAAGAGCCAAAGAACTCTGGCAGAAGCAAATACATAACTACTCTGAAGGGACTCTTTCAGAATTCAGGGCATGAGAGACTCCCATAAACAAAATAACCCCATCCCAGAACAGCGCCACAGGAGGAAATAAATCACTATGAGTTAAGAGTTAGCAAATGTTATAAACAGCAGAATTAGGAATTCAAAAGCTGGAAATAATAGAAGTACCTGAAAGAGAAGATAAAATGAGGACATTTAACTTGATTGAAGAGGCAAAATAATAGAAATCATAATGAAAGAATAGGCAGATTTCACAAAGAACCAAACAGAACATGTAATACTGAAAACAATATTGTCATTGAAATGAAAATGAAAGGGTCTAGCCAGATCCCATAGGTGAATGAATATAATCACCTCCTTCTCTATTCCTCATTTTAAATTATGCTCAGCTGTATTTCTTCCCGTTTTCCAGACAGGTTATACTTGGTGTATTCAAAAGGTGCTGCTACTCAACACAATTTTACAATGTGAACTTCCTGTCATTATCAATTCATCCCCTTGAACCCCAAATTAATCTCGCAATAAAATGAATCCACCTTTCCCTATTTCTGCAGTGAAGCTAAAGTCCTTTCATTTTTTTCTCCCATCCTAAGTTCCAGGGAGAGAGGATTCACCCAGGTCCCTAGAAGAACTACTTTAAGACTCCAAAATTAGAAAAGTGCACCAGGGAAAGAGGGTCCCTCCCAACGCCCTGGAAGAGTAGAAGACCAAATCTTTTTCCTAGGTTCTGCTTTATGGCTTTAACAGCATCCTCGCTCGTGCTGCTGCCTTCCACATAAGGACTAAGACTCTACTAGCCTGCCAGAGTTGAAGCTTTCAAAAGCTGTTGATCCATGGTGATGAAACAAGAACAGTACTCTATTCATACTACATCTACCCTACACTCTATCTTTACTTCAGTCCTTACCTCTCCACATTAGGTGGGCATTTGTGGCTTTGTGCCTTGGTCTTCTCCACTTCCCTGTGGTGATCTCAGGAAGCAGAGTTGTAAGTCGGCCATTAGTGATTTCCTCAAGTCCAGCTATACTAACAGAAATTCCTTAGTGTTTCTGGCCAGCACTAAGACGAAAACTGATATAGATCTCTCCTTTATAAGCAGATTTCATTTTAATAAATACTTTTAGTGAAGCAATTAGATGTGGATATTCTTATAACTACCCAGAAGTCCTTATCTAGCAAAAGTGTATTTGCATATGTTTTCATCCATTTGTCTTAAATATATCAACTAGTTATTAATCTATTAAATAAGTGCAAAGGCTAATAATATGTCTTACATATTTTCACTCCAAAGAATTATTTTATAACAATAAAATCCACATTCAAGTTTGTTGGCAAATTAAAATTTTTTATTCACAGTGATGAAATGAAGGGGACATAGCTGAAAATAAATGTATTAAGATTGAATAGAATCAATGTAAGTGAAGAGCTGTGGAGGCTAGGGGATGCAAGAATCAAGGTAGACAAAGACAGCTGCTTAACTAAATTGATGTTAGGCCTGTAATGATTGACATTAGAAAAGGGGGTAGGCTATGAGAGTAAATAAATGAATTCTTTCTTAAACAAAAAAACCCAGAAAACTTATTTTACTCTCTTAAGTAGAGAAATAATTTCAAAACATAGGCCCATTCTTGGTAGTTTAAGACTGGTGTCGAATACTGCAAAGTCATTCTGGTGCCAAGAAAGCAACTTTAAATATATGGCCATTTAGCACGCTGGCCACACCATCTTTTTATACATCACCTAGGACAGCACGATGCTCTCAGAAGCTAAGCTCTTCCTAACTCATTAGAACCAATGTGCTCAACCGTCAGAAAACTGGCCAGCAGCCGGCCCCGTGGCTTAGCAGTCAAGTGCGCGCGCTCCGCTACTGGTGGTCCGGGTTCAGATCCCAGGCACGCGGGCGCGCACCGAGGCACTGCTTCTCTGGCCATGCTGAGGCCGCATCCCACATACAGCAACTAGAAGGATGTGCAACTATGACATACAACTATCTACCAGGGCTTTGGGGGGGGGGGGAAGGAGGAGGATTGGCAATAGATGTTAGCTCAGAGCCAGTCTTCTGCAGCAAAAAGAGGAGGATTAGCATGGATGTCAGCTCAGGGCTGATCTTCCTCACAAAAAAAAAAAAAAAGAAGAAAACTGGCCAGGTATTTTTTTTTAAGGAACGAACAATACACTCTAATAAATAACAGGATCTGTTACTAGTAGTACTGGATTCCGTACACGAAGAGGAATACTATAGAATAAGAGTACTTGACTCGGAGCTAGGCTTTTTTGGGAACAAATCCCAGCTTCTCCAGGTTCTACTTAGAATAAGTTACTAGCCTTTCTGCGACTCAGTTTGCTCATCTGTAAAATGAAAACAGTATCACGGATTTCACAGGGCTGCTGCGAGAATTGTAAAAAGCCCTTGGAACCCAGCTTGGCATCCTAGAGGCTCAATAAATACTGGCTGTCATAAGGTGTTTCCAAAAAACTTCCCTGGAATGTCAATTCTGCCATTGCTTATCATTACACAGCTTTTTAGTGTAAGGAAAGGAACACCCATCTGTCCAGCCCTACTACCCTCCGCGCACAGCATGGTGCTCAGCACCGCTCTCAGCAGCGACTACAGCCGTCCCTTCGAAAAGCCCGCCAGGATCCTGAGCCGGAGGGGCGGAGCCAGAGCGCGACCAGAGTCCGCAGAAGACCGGCGCCTCCCCAGACCCAACAAAGTGCAGCTTCCACTTTTGACGACTCTGAGCCAACCGGGGAGGTTCTGAGGCTTCCGAAGCAGAACGAGAGGACCAGAATGAACCCGCGCAGCCTAGCCGGCTGCCTCCTCCGTCGCTCTGAGAAGACAGCCTCCCGCACCAGCGAGTCCCGCCCCGCCCGCGAGGAGGCGGGGTCTCCAGAGCGCGGCCCACTCCTGACAGGGCCTGAGGCGGGGCGGGGCCGGCGGAGCGCGAGGCCCCGAAGCTGAGGTGCGGGGCTGCCCGACGTGTGCCGGACGCCGATCTCAACGTATGCCATCTGATCTCTTAGTCCTTAGGCCCGAGCCGTGGCATCACCGGAGCTGTCATTGTCGCGACCCTCCTTCCTATCTCCCTGTCACTTTGATTGTCCGATGGGAGAAAAAAGTGGAACCCCTAAGTCAGGCACCTCCTAGGCAGCAGCCAATGAAATAGGCAGTGGAAGCGGGGGTCCTTTCCTCGCGCCGAAATTCAAAGGTATAAATAGTTCCGGTCCCGGTGCAGAGCGCGGGGCGAGTGCTGTACCCGCTATGCGGTAATTTCCTTCGTAGCGCCCGGAACCGGGCACGGTTGGCCCGCTCTGCGCCCTTGTGACCGGGAAGAGGTTTGGGGGCGTCCCAAGCCCACACGGCCCGACGCATCGGTGAGCCGGGTGCATGCGCGCGCCGGTTGGGCCTAGTCTGGCATTCCTGGCGGGAGATGGGGGCGATGGGCTGGGGGGATGAGTAGCAAGAAAGGACCTCAGACTAAAATGGGTCCTCAAGGGTTCCTAGCAGAATGGCTAGTTCTTATCCAGCCTTGGAGTAGGGTGAGGAGGTGTTGACACAAAGGCCTGGTGAGGCGAGGGAACAGCCTGAGTGAAAGCAAGAGGCTGGAGAATATATGGAATTCATCTATTTAGTAAGTATTTGCTGACCCCCACTGCCCCGGTGGACGTAGGGTTGGATACACGAATAGGTACGTACTGTTTAGTGTTAGCTTTAAGTGCAATGAAAGGAAAAGAAAGCAGAGTGAAAGGATGGGTAAAGGTCCTCTTTTGTATAGGGAAGTCAGGGAGGACCGCAGTAAGGTGACATTTGAGCAGAGAGTGGGTGTAGTAAAGGAGAGTGAGCCATGACAGTTTCGGGGAGAGGGACGTTATGGGCAAAGGGAATGGGATGTGACATCATCAGTAGTCTGTGTTAGCTAGAGTATGATAATGGTGGAAGCAAAGCCTGGAGAAGTAGGTAGTTGACTTCCAGATTGAACTAATGGTTTAATTAACTTCCCCGTAGTGACTAACTCTTGCATGTTTTTAAGTTGGAGAAGGACATCTACATCAGAAGTAGCTTGGCAAGTGGCTGTTTCATTTCTATTGAGCTGTTATCCTTAAATGTTTTAGTTTTTCACATTCACTGTGATTCCAAGTTTACATTCCACTTATGTGTTATTTCTGTTTTGTACAGAACTACTTTGTGGACTGTTTGATTTCTAGCAGAGGTTTACCTAAGTCAGTAGTGAAAATGCACATTAAGTCAATCATTCTTGAAGGATTCAAGTCCTATGCCCAGAGGACTGAAGTCAATGGTTTTGACCCCCTCTTCAATGCTATCACTGGTTTAAATGGTAGCGGGAAATCCAACATATTGGACTCCATCTGCTTTTTGCTGGGCATCTCCAACCTGTCTCAGGTAAAGTGTAAACTTTCTGATTTATTTGAATTGAAGCTTGGGGACCCTCAAGGGAATCCTCTTTGAACTTGGAGACTGTTGCCAATATTCTTTTCATTTGCATTTTTTACTTTATGTGAATTGTTTTATACCTCACTGCAATCCTTTAAAGGTAGATATTATTACTTCATTTTTTAGGTGAGAAAATAGAAACTGGGAGGGGTTGCCTAAAGTTCATCCTCTTAAGGTGTTTGGAGCATCATTCAAACTCAGGCATTCTTACTTTAAGGCAGTCTTATTCCAGAGTCTGTATTCCCCTTGCTGCATTATAATACCTTTTCAGGATCTACTAATGGGATTGGACGAATAGTGAAATTTTTAGACAGTGTCTTCGCTTCAGTCTTTCAAATGAAGTTTTGTTAAGAAATGAGTAAAAGACAATTCCATTCAGGGTTGAAAAGTCCTGTGGAGAAAGGTGCCCATTTCAGGTTGTTGCCTATTTTCCTTGCCTTCCTTGCCTGTGAATGCGACTGCGTGTCTTTGGCTACTTAATGGATATTGTATGGGTGGTTTTCCAACATCAAGAAACCCATTTTTAGTGCCATTTTGGCAATCTGGGATTTTGTAATTGATAAACTTTTATTTTATTTTAGGTTCGGGCTTCTAATTTACAAGATTTAGTTTACAAAAATGGGCAGGCTGGTATTACCAAAGCCTCAGTGTCAATCACCTTTGATAATTCTGACAAAAAGCAAAGTCCTTTAGGATTTGAGGTTCATGATGAAATTACAGTAACAAGGCAGGTGAGTGGCTACTAAATATTTGGATACCTAAGAACTTGCATGTCTGATGTGTTTTTTGGCAATATAACTTTGCTGGAGAGAGAAAGTTTATGAGCAAAATTGATGCATCCAATACTGACTAGATTCCTTATGTAAAAATTTTGATCATGCAAATTCTGCCGTTTACCAAGAAGATTGAAAGGGATCTGAAAAGTCATCCATCAGTATGAGCACTCAACCGTACTTAAATCTTGAACTGTACTTGAATCTTCTCTGTCTGTGCTGGAACGCCTACAGTACTTTTAATTTTGCTGTCTTCTGAGGTAACCCGTTCTGTTTTTGGACAGGTCTAATTAGAGAGTTGTTCCTATAAATTGAGCCAGTGTGCTATCTTCAAGTTTTACACATTAATCCTAGTTCTTTTGAGAGCACCAAGAGCAAATCTAATTTATACTGTACTTCAATATTTAAGTGTTCTGTAAGTCTAAATGTTTCTATGCTAAATCTCTCTAGGTCTTTCAAATGATATTTAGTTGTTTCTAGTTCCTTCACTTGTCTAATCACACTGAATACGAATTTGCTTCGGTTCTTTATATCTTTTTTTTAATGTATGGCACCTCAAGTTACATGTGCTAGAATTGGTCTAATTAAGACAAGATTAAGCAGAATTGTCACTTCTTTCATTTTAGATACTCTACTTCAATTTTTCACAATATAATATTGGAGAGTTCATAATACATTATTAATTTGTGTCTGATTTACTTAAAATCACTCTAATTTTTTTCACGTCTGTTACTACTTGGCCGTGTTACTGCCATTTCTGTATGTAAAAAGGTTTTTGAAACCAATGCAGGACCTTACATTTGTCCCTTAAAATCTTTTTTTATTATAGTCAGACAATGTTTTCAGTTTGTCAAAATTTTATTTTTAAAAATTCTTTTAACTCCCATTTACTCTCCATCTTAGCATTATGTAACTCAAAGATTTCCCTCTCTATTTGAATGAAAGCCTCTGGTAAAAAAACCATTCACTAGGTTGGGACGGAATCCTGTTCTCTGTCATTGAGCATCCATCAAATAATCACCCTTTAGGAATTTTCAGTAAGTCTGTTACTAATCCACCTAAAATTCCTGTCCTCATGCAGTCCATATGCCTGTATCTTCACCAAAATTTTGTCATAAAGACTTTGTCAAATTACTTATGGGTATACTAGGTCTGTTGTTCAAATATGTTAATATTTGATCTACCCAGCCTAATAATCCCGTCAGGAAAAGAAATGAATTAACGTTTACTCAGTATTAAGTGCCTGATGTGTGCTGGGCGTTCTTGAATGCACTGGGAAAAACAGGTAGAAAAAAGAATGAGAAATGGGTCTTGTCTTTAAGGACCTCAAAATATGATATAAGTGAGACAGTCATACCTGATAAATGACAGTGTAAGTGCTGTGATAGGGTATGAACTAGCTGGTGTCTGGTATAAGTTGTTCTTAATGAACCTGTGCTGAAGCTCCATGATTACTCTTTTTCTTTCAAGTATTCACAAGTCATGTCTTTATTAATCCCTTTTAGAATCTTGTCTAGGATTGGTATGAAACTGCTTGTTTTTAGTGTTAAGTATCTGACTTCCGTTCCTTTGGAAATTAAAAAGTGGAGGAAGAAAGGTTAACCTCTGAGTGTGGAAAAATTGCAGAAAGAGGGTGATCAGGGATAGAAGATGTTTTACACATACTTAGAAGTGACCTTAGAGACCTACTGTAAGGCAGGGGAGGTTAGGAAGCTTGTGCGGTAGCAGAGTCCCTGGATTAGAAGTCAGTTGTCCTGACTCAATCTTGTCTTCTTTTTGAGCATGTCACACTTCCTCCACTATCTACTCAGAATTGGTTTTGTTTACCATTAGTTACAGAACAAACAAATGAAAGATAATGTATTCAGGAATTTATCATCTTAGCTCAAGATGTGTGTTCATTTATATCTTTTAAAATATTTCCCTTTTTAGGTGGTTATTGGTGGCAGAAATAAATATTTAATCAATGGAGTAAATGCAAACAATACCAGAGTACAAGATCTCTTCTGTTCTGTTGGCCTTAATGTTAACAACCCTCACTTTCTCATCATGCAGGTATTTTGTTTGTGGTCTTTATATCTTTTTCATAATGGTTTTGACATATTTTATTTTTTAAGTTACTCTTTTACAACTTATTAGAAGTGCTTCTTTTTGGATTTTCCATTTTTTTATCTACTGTTATGCTGGTGTTTGGGCACCTGTCAAGAAATGTGGGTTAGTGATTTGTACTGATGTGTTCTAACATATTATATACATTTGAATTTTGAAAAACATCTAGAAGTAATTTTCCTTTACTTAGATTCTATTACTACAAGAGCAATACATGCTTACTATAAAAAAAATTTTAAAAATATTGTCATAATATATCTGTTTAATGTATTGGAATAAAGCATTTTATTATTTCAAATATATATTAAATTTTAAATAATTTTCTTCTTTAGAGACTTACTCAAATGAAAAATAAGGGCAAAGGTTATCTTTCCCTTACATTATCTCACTTGACCCAGCCAGCTATCCTTTGAGAAAGTCACAGCAAGGTCAATGGCAGGATCTTCATGGGACCAAAATAAAATTATTTTCACTACATCACAGGCTCAAAGCTGAAAATTTACTTCAAATGAATCTAAATCCTGGTTCTCTGTGAGTTGGGTAGTGGGTTTTTTTTTTTTTTTTTAGTTTAGTTTTTTTGGCACTGAAGGAATTTGATAATTTTTCTGGCATCAAAATAAAACATTTTACTGAGGCCTAGAAGTATGTAGTCTATTTCTACAAATTATTTTAGAGGGCTGTCATACCACAAAATCAAGAAATGTTCAATAATTATGCTAAAATTTGCTTATATACTTACCTATTTTAGAATTGGAGACTTCTACATCATTAATAATAACTCTCAGAAATATGATGAGTTAATTTTGTACCATTTAATTGTTATTACCAGTTAATACCAGTGTAAATTTTATCACTGGTAAGCGAGAAAGTGAATAGCAAAGTTCTGGAATTATAAGGTACTTTTGGTCTCAAATGTAATAAAAGAAACATCTTTTCATGTAGATGGAAGAAAGAACTCCCAAAAGATTAGTTTATTACGATATAACAACTTCAGTGCACATAAATATATGTGCCTTTAGGTTACCCTTTCTGTAATTTGTTATCATTTTAGTGAGCTTGCCATTTTATTTTCAGGGCCGAATTACAAAGGTATTGAACATGAAACCTCCAGAGGTAAGAGTACTATTTATGGACAGTAAAAATAGTAATTATAGATATTATTTTAATCTTCTAGGTAATCAATTTTTTAATGTAATTTCTTCCATTAAAATTCTTGGAAACATTATTTAAGAATTATTAGTAAAGACAGTATTTTTTTTTAATATTGGCACTGTGCCCAATACGTGTGTGTGTGTGTGTGTGTGTGTGTGTGTATATATATATTTTTAGTTATGTAACATGACCCTTCTGAGCCTTAGTTTCTTCATCCATAAATTGGAGTCAGTAATCCTTACCTCAGTCTGTTCTGAGGATTAAATATGTATAAGAAAATGCATGGGACATTGTTAAGCAGATTTCTTTAAATTGTTTTTTTAAATTGAGATATAATTGACATTTATGTCAGGTGTACAACATAATGATTTAGTATATGTATATATTGGAAAATGATCACCACAATAAGTCTAGTTAATGTCTATCACCACACAGTTACAAACTTGTTTTTCTTATGATGAGAACTTTTAAGATTGACTCTCTTAGCAATTTTCAAATATACCATACAGTAGTATTAACCATAGTTACCAAACTGTGCATTACATCCCCAGAATTTTTTATTTTTATACCTGGAGGTTTGTACCTTTTGACCACGTGCACCCATTTCACCTACCACTCATTCCCTACCTCTGGCAGCCACCAGTCTGTTCTCTGTATCTGTGAGTTCAGTTTTGTTTTGTATTTTTTTTTAGATTGCACATATAAGTGAGATTATATTTGTCTTTCTCTGTCTGACTTATTTCACTTAGCACGATACCCTCAAGGTCTATCCATGTTGTCACAAATGGCAAGATTTCCTCCTTTTTTATGGCTGAGTAATTTTCATTATATACATATATTACATTTTCTTTATCCATTCATCCATCATTGGACACTTAGGCTGTTTCCATGTCTTGGCTATTACAAATAATGCTGCAATGAACTTGGGGGCTGCAGATATCTTTTCTAGTTAATGTCTGTTTCCTTTGGATAAATACTCAGAAGTGGAATTGCTGGATCATATGGTAGTTCTATTTTTAATTTTTTGAGAAACCTCCACACTGTTTTCCATTTACAATCCCATCAACAGTTCATAAGGGTTCCCTTTTCTCCACATCTCGCTAACACTTGTCTTTTTGATAATAGCCATTTTAACAGAGATAATATCTCATTGTGGCTTCGATTTGTATTTCCCTGATGATTAGTGATGTTGAGCACCTTTTCATATACCTGTTGTCCATCTGTATGTCTTCTGTGGAAAAACGTCTATGCACATCCTCTGCCCATTTTTAATTGGCTTTTTTTTCTGTTGAGTTATATGAGTTCTTTATGTATTGGGATATTAACCCCTTATCAGATACATGATTTACAAATATTTTCTCTCATTCTCTAGGTTGCCTTTTCATTATCTTTGTTGTTTCCTTTTTTGTGTGTGTGTGAGGAGATCAGCCCTTTGCTAACATCTACCAATCCTCCTCTTTTCTTGCTGAGGAAGACTGGCCCTGGGCTAACATCTGTGCCCATCTTCCTCCACTTTATATGGGACGCCACCACAGCGTGGCTTGCTGAACAGTGCGTCGGTGCGCGCCCGGGGATCCGAACCGGCGAACCCCGGGCCGCCTCAGCAGAACGCACACGCTTAACCGCTTGAGCCACCGGGCCAGCCCCTCTTTGTTGTTTGCTTTGCTGTGCAGAAGGTTTTTAGTTTGATGTAGTCCCACTTGTTTATTTTTGCTTTTGTTGCCTTTGCTTTTGGTGTTAAATCCAAAAAATCATCGCCAAGACGGTTATCAAGGAACTTATCCCCTGTGTTTTCTTTTAGGAGTTTTATGTGCCCAATATTAAAAGAAATTTTGACTGTATAAAACATCCTTTCTCATCTGGTGTTCCATGTCAGAGTTAAACCCTACAGAAAAACTCTACAGAAAAAGATTTGAGGGAAATTAGTTCATTACATACAATGGATTACTTAGGGCATTAAGACTTAATTTTCTCTTGGAGCCCCCTTGAGAAGAGTTAGTATGAAGGAATGAATGTTTTGTACAAGAACAAAGACTGTTTAATTATTCCTTCCTATTGAGAATAGCTAATAAGAAGACTGATAATTGACAGTACCAGTCTCATTTGAACATAGGTCATGCTTATTTTCTTTAACATCTAAAGAGGAAACTTACAATTGGAAACCTGCCAAATACATAGACATCAAAGTGGTTTCCAGAGAAATAATCCTCTTGCGAGAGGGACTGATGTGAGTAGAAGGTTCTGAAAATGGAGTGCTGGCACAGTTGTTCTTATAAAATTATAATTGATTAATATTTGCGTTTTGCAGAGTGCTCTCACATGACTTATGGTGTTCAGTTCTCAACAAACATTATCAGTACTCTGTGGATGAAGAAGTAGAGGCAGAGAGAGAATTAGGTTACTTGCCCAAGGTCTTAAAGTGTGTGCCACAATTGGGATGCAAAATGTTATGCCATGCTTCATCTGTGTAGGCACAGAATGGCTGAAGTCTCACTTGGACCAATTTTCAGTAGAAACTTCTAAAATGAAAGCTGAATGGTGTTAGCCTTCACTTTTTTTTAGACTTGTATTCAAAGGAAAAGAGAAGGGAGGAATTACTGGGCTTCAGTTTTTTTTTTTTATTATTGATGTTTTAATAGTTTATAACATTGTGAAATTCTGGGTTGTACATTTTTGTTTGTCCATCACCATATATATGTCTCC